ATTCCGATTCCCATTATTTCCTTCCTAGCTTACAGCCGTTGATACCTCACTGCGCCATGTAGAACAAGACATATAACCAGGTTGCTTTCTGAGAAATTATGATTTTATGGGCATCATTATGGAGAGGGGCTGTCAGAGTAACATATTAATTTATTCCCTGATTCAGCTCAAGCTTGCTTACTAAGAGCTTCTTGGCTGAGTCCAGTGTGGGCAACTATGGGCCAGGCTCTGTCTCAGAATAAAAAATAGAAAAGGAATGGAGATGGATCTCAATGCAAAGGCCCGGATTTAATCCCCAGAATGGAAAAGAAAGACAAAAAACAAAAAACAGACTTCTTAGGGCAGACACCACATTCATTAAGTTACTCTGTTGGGGAATGGGAGGAGAGAGACACACATCCGCGCTTCAAGAGGCCACGGCAGGAAAGACGGACACCCAGAGTATGATGATCCCAGGAGACAGAGAAATGCAGACAGCCCGTGAAGCAGGACCAGCACTGCTGGGTGGAGTCAGGGAAGAAGGTGACCGTTGAACTGGGGTAACTGGAGAAAGGGGGTAGCACTGTACACAAATTAGTATATTCCTGCAAAAGGAAGTAAAGGAATGTAAGTGTGTCCTTTCTTTTCGCTTTGGAATAAGAACCTTTTCTAAGAAAGACCACACACACACACACACACACACACACACACACACAGAGTTTTGTGTGTCTCTCCCAACTTTGTTTCTCTGCTCTACGAGGTGCTATTTTCATGAAGGTGTATCTTCCTAGTTATGTGAATCAGGTTTGTTTTTGTTCTTGTTTTGTTATTGTTGAGAGGATCTTGCTATGCTGCTCAGGGTGACCTCAAGCTCCTAGACTCAGGTGATCCTCCTGCCTCAACCTCTGAAGTAGCTGGGACCACGGCCTCATGCTACTATATGCACTTCAAGCATGCGTTCCCATTCCGTGGGTCTGTAATCTGGATCAGATTTGAGATCCTTGGTTCTCGGAATGCTCTGGTACCTTGTGAAGGGCAGTGTGATTTGTGTGAAGAACACAGGGGAAAGAAGTGGATATGGACAGAACAGGGCCCTAGAAAAACAGGTGGGCCCAGGAGTTTAGACTTAGTACTAGGCTTCAAAATATATTTAAGGTTTTTCATGAAGTGTTTACAGCAACATCATATGTACTGTGGCTTTGTATTGTCTTGTTTTGTCTTGTTTTGTAATGCTGGGAGTCAAATGCAAGTCCTCACTCATGCTATGCAAGCCCTGCCACTGAGCCCCACCCCCACTGCTATATTCTATTTATTTATTTATTCATTTATTTATTTATTTTTGGGTTTTTTTCCGGTATCGGGAATTGAACTCACAACCTCATGCTTGCCAGGCAGGTGCTGTGCCACTGAGCTAAATCCCCAGCCCCCGCCACTGCTATATTCTAAATCAAAGCCTTTACTGCTTATCCCATTATGAGTTCACAGAACAAAGTACAATAGAATTTGGCCTAACTGACACAGTGAACTTACAATAGATGGCAACGCTTGCTTACCTTTTGCAATAATTTATGAACCAAACCAGCTAGCACTTATGGAAAATTTATAATCACACACACAAAAGATTGATTTCTGGCACAAGATACGTTCAGAGCTTAGCCAAAACAATAATTCACATTTCCTACTTACCAGTTCCAAGGCTTGTCACACTACTTATCCTGCCTTCTTTTTCTTTCCAGTTTTTTTTTTGCCTCATGAGCTTTGAATAAAAGTACTTGCCCAGATTGGCTGGATTTAAGTAGTTTTTAAAGGGTCAGGAAACATCGAGGGATGAGTGAAAGCATTGTGTCCTGGGGTGGGGGATGTGCTCTCTGACTCCCCACAAAGTGTCAGTCACTTGGAGGCTTTTGTGGTAAGGTTCAGGAGTCCTTTTTGTAGATATCTTTGAAGAGAAGAGCAGCAGTGGAGCTTTCCATGGTTCAAATCAAAGCTATTTTTGAAGCAGAAAATGATTAAACTTTGTCCTTGGTATGCCTGTGGGCTGCCTTCCTCTTTAATACTTCTTGTATTTTGTTTAAATGATCTTGCTCTGCCACTGCGGATTTCTACAGTGTACTACAAAATCTGTGATCCTCCCTTCTGGGGAAGGGTTCCCTGAAAAGGAAAAGAATCCTGTGCTGTTCTTGGCGAACAGAAAGCAGCTGACTCAGTGGTCATTAAATCATACAACTTTGGGGTATTTTTCCAGAGGTTAGGGTGGGGGCACCACCCATTTCTCTACTCAGGGATCTCTGGTTAATGATTTAGGCAGGGTAGAACAGCCATGGCAGCCACTTCTAGGGCTGGAATCCTGTTCTTGGTGGAAACCTTGGGGGTGTCGGCCTTAGCAGTCCATTCCAAGGGACAGAGAGCCACCTGGCTCAGTCACACTGTGGGGGCGGGGGGTATATTAAAAGTGTCTCCTCTCCTCCAAGTATGCTGGGTCAGACAACCATGATGAAGAGCTCAAAGAGAGCAGAAATAACTGCCAGGTAATCTTGTTTAATGTGTTTATTTTTAAATACTGTATATGATTTGCCTTGAGCTCAATAGCTACTTCCAGAAACTGAACCCAGAGTGGAAGACTCCATCCACAGGAAATGGAACACAGATACAGCTAAATTCAGTGCTTGAGGTGCTGGTCCAGATGCCCTCTGCCAAAAGCAAGCTTCAGCAGAGGCCTGGACAGAGAGAGAGCTCTGGGGACAGGAAGCATTGGGAAAGCTTGGGGCTGCGCTCAATAATAAAGTGGGCCGGCAACTCTAAAATATAAGTTGAACTGGCACTCACGACCTTGCAGCAAGACGACTCTTTTATGTTTTTCAATTGTTAAGGAAGTTCTCATGTGCAATCTCTTTTGGTGGTGTCGAGAGCAGAAGAAAAAGCATGAAGTAAAACTGTAAGTTTGAAGAGGAAAATATTCTTTCTGAGGTTCCTCAGAGAATCCTCCACTGTCTCCTACTCAGATATCTTTTAGTTTATGAGCTGTAATAAAACACACTCTGTCACACTGTGGGAGCCCTTCTCATCAGAGGATCTCCAACCAAGGCATAGCTTAATTATGGGCGCGGTCACAGGCTCAGTGTGCCAGTTGCAAGGTCCTAGCAGGAACAAAGCGAATCGCCTAATCGCTGACAAAAGGAAGAGAAGTTCTGAGCTTCCCTTGAAAGCATTGCTGCTGCTGAGTAGTGTCACCTGCTGATGGTGCCTTGGCAGAGGGGGCAACATAGGTGCTGGGTGGGAAGGACACATCCTGCTTCCCTGCACTGAGAACCCCATCTTGCCCGTGGGCTGGACAGAGCTGTCAAGCCATGATACCAGATCTGCCGCACAGTCCTAGCCTGGCAAGGAGGGAGGGCGTGGGAACAGAGGTGGGGTCAAACCCGGGATAGCTGTGGAGGCCTTGGCCTTCATTTCCTGGGGAACATTCCCCAGTAATTAGCAGCGCTGCCTCCTTCTCCCGTCCCTGGCCACTTCCCCTCCATTATCTCCATCAGCATTCCTTCCCTTACTGAGGCCCTGCTCTGGCAGGAATTCAGTTGTGGGCTGGGGGCCAAAAAATCAAAGCAGAATAGCTTTCAGGACCCCTAAAGTTGTTCTAGAGGAGCAGAGTCCTAAGGACATGAAACTGAAAGTTCTCCTCAAGGCCCTAAGGGAGCTGAGACTTGGGCTTGAGATAAGAGGCTCCAGGGTGCTTGCTGCTTAAGGTAGGGCAGAACCCTGCTCTCCACCCTGCACCCCAGAGGACAGAGGTTGCTGGGAATCATGTTCAGGTTCATCCAAGGAAGTACTTGCAGAGTCCCATGTACCCCGAGATAAACAGAGCTTATCTGGCGGGGGTGAGCCCCTGATCTCAGGGTTGTTGGAGACAAGAGGCTGGAGAGGTCCCCCCGTCCCCTGCTTGGCAAGGTCCTTCCCAGACCTAACAGTCTGAGTCCCTGAGGGGCTGTGGCTCTAGAGGTGGCAGTTTGCTCTGGCCTCTCATGGGGTTGATGAAGAGGCCTAGCCAGGAAAGGGTAGTAGAAAATGAGGATGAAAATTGGGGACTGGAAAAGGAAGGAGGAAAGGGTTGAGCAGTTGTCAAAACAAACTACAACTGTGTGACTTTAAACAACAGAAATGTGTCGCCTTGCTCCAGCAGGTTTATAGTCTAAAACCACCATGCAGAGGCCAGGTGTGGTAGGGCACACCTGTAACCCTAGCATTTGGAAGGCTGAGGCAGGAGGATTGGCACACGTTTGAGGCCAGCCTGGACTACACTGTAACTTCAAGGCCAGCCTGAACTACATAGCAAGACCCTGCCTCAAAATAAATAAATAAATAAATAAATAAATGTGCAGAGACCGCTAGGGTTCTCCGAGGGTTCTGAGAGAGACTGTTGCAAGTCACCCCTCTCACTTCTGCAGCCCAGCTGTCTCTTAGCTTCTACGGGCCTCACTCCAGGGCTCCATTGTCTCCCGGCATCCTCCCTGTCTTCCTCCCATGCTATGGACAGGCTGTGACACTAGTGGTCAGTTCCCCTTCTCCAGCCATCAGGTTCGGTGGTAAAAGAAGGTTAGGCTATTCCAGCGCAGGCTTTCTAGGACTTCCTGCAATTCAGTATTCTGTGATTTCATCATCAGTCCTTAAGGACAACTTCATGCGCTGATCTCCATGATCTTTTAATAGGGAGTTAAGCTTTTTTACGAGGGTTGAATGGGAAGAGGAGGCAGCATTTCTTTGGAAGTCAGCTAACATCTCGGGGATGAGATTACCTCTGGGTCTCAGTTTTTCGAGCTATAAAACAGAAATAACAATACAGCCTCCTGTGAGAGGAGCAATCCAGAGAAACACAAGTCTCTGCAAAACAGAAGCCAGCGGCGGAACCGGGCGCGACAAGCCGGGCGGGGCGGGGCGGGGCGGGGCGGGGCAGGGAGGAGCCAGGGGCTGGCTTTGTTCTCGCCCCGCCCCACCCTAGATATCGCGAGAGGGCGGGCCGGCTTGGCTTCGGCATCGGCGTTGCTCTCGCGCTGAGGCGCTAGGCCGGCGTCTCTCAGGGGCGCGGGTCGAGTGCCGGCGGCGCGGAGCTGGTCGCCGCGCGGCGTCCACTGTGGCGTCACGGCCATTGTGTCGTGCCAGTGACGCGGGGAATTGTTCCCACTACGGCTAGTTAGGCCGCTTTAGCCCAGAGCTGGCTCTGCGGCTACACTGGCAGGTCGCTGTGAGCGCCCGACATTTCTCTTTTTGGACCCTTCGTCAGCAGCGACCCTGAGCCAAAAGCCGGAACCCCCGGCAATGGCGGCCTCGACGGCGTCGCACCGGCCCATCAAGGGGATCCTGAAGAACAAGACCGCTGCGACTTCCTCGGTGGTGGCCTCGGCCGAAGAGCCCCGCCGGAGCGTCGACGAGGAGCTGAGGTGAGAGCCGGAAGGGCCGGGGGAAATGCCCCCCGTTTCCGGTGCCGGCGACCCCGGCCCGCGCGCAGAGCCGTGCCCTGTGGGAGTGGCGAGCTAGGTCCGTGCGCTTATGCGTGTCTCAGCGAGTGCGATCTTTAAAACTTCAGTTGTGCTCATTGAGACATCACGTTGAAGTTTCAGAGCTTCGACTGTTAAGATTTTATCCTTTCTTGTACTCACCTCGGAGATGTCTTCAGGTCGTTGTATGAGAAAACTACTTTCTCGCCTCGGAAACCTCTTAAGATTTAGAATCACGCTAATGGATCTCAAAAAGAAACCATTTTCAATTAAGCATCGTGCCGCACTCACTTCCCTGTTCGTCATCTCTGCACTGAGAGAAATAAACGTTTTCCGACTCCTTGATCTACATTTAATGGAAAGTTATTTATGGCTACATGTTTTTGTCTCTGCAGCAAGAGTCTTGAATGCTTTCTAGTTTGGGGTCCTGTTGAGCCGGACCAAAGCCCAGAACTATTCAGAGTGGAACTGCTTCATATGTTGACTCGAGGCAGTGTGTGTGATAGTAAATGATTGGAAGCAACCCAAGGTCCATTAGTGAGAATGAGTGATTTTTTTTTTTTGGTGTCGGAAATGGAACTCAGGACCTTGCGCTTGCCAGGCAGGCACTGTACCGCTGAGATATATCCCAAGCCCCAATTTGAAATAGTATGGTACATTTGTACAATGGCACAATGTACCCGCCTTTTGAAAACAGTGAGATTGATGTTTGTGTACAGAGAAGGATACCCGAGGTGTAGTGCTTAATGAAAGACGTACACTACTGGGTTAGAGGACTGTTCTTTCTGGAAATAAGGCTTAAGGAAAGTTAGTGAGGGGCTGGGGGTTTAGCTCAGCGGCAAAGCGCCTGCCTGGCAAGTGCAAGGTCGTGAGTTCGGTTCCCGGTACCGGAGAAAAACCAAAAAAAAAAAAAAAAAAAAAGAAAAGAAAAGTTAGTGAAATTTGTAGTCCTGAAACTAAAATGAAGATGATCGTGAAATCTTAGAATATTAGTGTTTTGATAATTATTGGCGACATTATAGGTAGTATTCTTTTTAAAAAGCTGTGTAGAGCTAGGTGTGGTGGCACACGCCTGTAGTTGCAGCACTCAAGAAGCTAAGGCAGGAGGATCATGGAGAGTTTGATGTCACACACACACAAAAAAAAGAAAGAAAGAAGGAGAAAAGCTATATAGAATGCAGGCATGGTGGTGCACCCCTGTAGCCCCAGCTACTCAAAAGGCATAGGCAGGAGGATTAGAAGTTCAAGGCACCTGGGCAACCTAATGGAAATTCAACCTAATCCAGATTTTAAAAGGGCTGGGGATGTAGCTCAGTGATAGAGCACTTGCCCAGCATGTGTAAAAGTCCTGGGTTCAATACCCTTTACCACCAAAAACACATTTTTTAACAGTTATATAGAAAGCTGGGCATAATGATCCCTAATCTGTAGCCCCAGCTACTCAGGAGGCTAAAGCAGGAGGACCCCTGGAGTCCAAGAGCTCAAGACCAGTCTGGGCAACATAAAAAAACAAAACAAACCTGTCTCTCTCCCCGCCGCCCCCCCCCCCACACACACGGGGGTGGGGGTGGGGCTCTATAGCAACATAATATAAACTGTAAAGCCCTTCATAAATTTTACCCCAGAAACACCTGTCCCTAGCAGATTATACCCTAGAATCCTTGCTAATTACATATGTGCAGATAGTCCATTTATACCTTAAATTAAGTAGGAAAATCTTAGAATCCGTCTAAATACCTAACATTAGGTAAGTAGTGTATTATTGAATATTATCAGTCATTAAGAAGGCAAAAACCAGAAAACACAAGCAGAGTATGATATAATACATATAGATTATTAATATGTGTATTTATACATCTATCTTATATGTATGTTTTTACATATTGACAGCTTATGTATTTTACATGTATTATAGAGTAGGAAGAATACATACAAATAAAAACTATTTGGCTTAAGATATTAGGGTGATAGGTTTTTGTTTTTGTGATACTGGAGATTGAACACAGTGCTTTCTCACTGAACTACATTCCCACCCCTTTTTTTAATTTTTAATTTTGAGACAGGGTCTCAATATGTTGCCCAGGTGGAATTTGAACTTGATGATTGTCCTGCTTAGTCTTCCAGAGAGCTGAGATTACAGACATGTGTCACCATGTACTTGTAAATTTTATTCCTAGCTTTTAGAAAACATAATTTCTACCCAGAAGCGACATTTGCTTGAGGCTGAGGCAAGAGGGTAGACCAGTCTGGGCTATATAGTGAGACCAAGAAATAAAAGAAAAATAGGGAGAGAGGAAAGACAGAAAGAAAAAAGAAAATAGAGTGTAATTTCTACTTGTGTCCTGTAGTTCTTTTTCTTCTATCATTATCTTGCAAAACCAGATTATAGAGTTGATGTCCTTTTCTCACAGTAGAGATGCACTTTAAACTCCAAAGGACCATATTCATTCTTGTTCTGTCCTAAACAATGATGGTCACTTTTAATTTAAAATTGTTAACATTATTTAGGAATAACTTGGGGGTTTTTTTGAGACAGGGTCTCACTATGCAGTTCAGACTGGCCTTAAACGCACTTCGTAGCCTTTATATGTATGTTTTTACGTATTATATTTTACATATGGGCCTTGAGCTCATAGCAATCCTCCTGCCTCAGCCTGCGGAGTATTGGGATTACAGGCATGAGCCACCACGCCCGGCTTTTTTTTCTGGTCTTTTTGAGGCAGGGTCTTGCTATGCAGTTCAAGCTGGTCTTGAACTCACTTTGCAGCCCAGGCTGGCCTCACACTTTCAGCAATCCTCTTGCCTCAGCCTCCCAATTGTGGGGACCACGCCCAGCTTCTGATTGTTTTTTGAGGTTGACAAGGGCCACACAATTCCAGCCATAATGGCTCTTTTATATTTTTCACTTCTTCCCTTACTTTGTTCATGTTTTCTTAAATCTATGAATGTATTCATAAGAACTCCTATAAAAAATATATACAAGGGTGATCCTAATATATGGTGAACATTTCATTAGCTCAAAAGGAAGTTCCCCATCCTCATTTCTCCTATATCCTCGCATGCAGGCAGCTATTCTGTTTCCTATCCTGTGGATTTGCCTGCCTTTGTCTAGAATTTTTTTTTTTTTTTTTTTTGTAGACAGGTTCTCCCTATGTAGCTCAGGCTGTCTTTACTTGCTTATGTAGTCCAGGCCTTGAACTCACAGTGCTCCTCCTGCCTTAGCCTTCGAAGTGCTGGGATTATGGGCGTGTGCCACCATGCCAAGCTGGAATAACTTGTTTTCGATTAGGAAGCACACAAAAAGATTATTAATGTGTATTAACTGTAAATTTAAAGTTTAGGAATTTATTGTAAAACACCCATGTATCTATCCTGGTCAAGAAAGAAAACGTTTCTATCACTTCAGAAATGTCCACTTCCCTTTCAGTTACAGACTGCACCTTCCCTAGGATAGAAACCACTACCCATCTATCTCTACATTCTAATTTTGTCTACCTTTGAACTTTCTGCAAGTGCAGATATGCTAGTCTTTTACAGTGTCATTCGTAGGAAATCTTCACCAGGATGGAACATTTAGTTAGTGTCCTAGAGTTCCCTTTGTTTTTTAATTGGATTGTTTCCTTCACAAAAGGAACTTCTTTTAAAATCTGTATCTATTTTTTTCACTGTTCTACCAATTGGAAGCGCCTTTATCATTTTGACGTAGAGACCACCGTAGGAACTGAGGACAAACTCCTGGGCCTCTGAACTGTTACTCATTGAAAGCATGATTTGTGTTTTTTCTGAGGTAGACAGAGATTTAAAGCGGGCTTTTAGCTGGATGTAGTGGCACTTGCCTGTAATCCTTGAGGCAGGAGGATCATAAGTTCCAGCCTACCCTGGACAATTTAGTGACATCCAGTTTGAGAATAAGGGCTATGGATGTAGCTCAGTTCTAAGGTCCTGGGTACAGCCTTTAGTGCCTCAAGAAAAAAGAAGAGAGTGACTCTTCATTTGAGCCTATACATGCTCAATAGGTAACTAAGAGTGGACCAAAGCTTGGCCTTTATTTTATAAAACTTGCTATTCCTTCTCAGCTGTGCATGTAGGCATTTTAGTTAAGGAGAAATGTCAGTCCCAAAGCTGGTGAAACAAGGTTTAGCAGCCCTAAATTGACCTAGCCTACTTCATTCCACTTCAAGACTGAGGACACTACCATACAAGTAACTAAAGTAATTTTCAGGATTCACAGGAACCTTCAGCTCCATCTAGAAATCCTCCTGTCCTAAACCTGTGGTCCCTAGGGTCCCAGCAGAGCCTCACAGGCCCCAGCAGACCCGCTCCACGCCTGGGAACCCCAAGCCACAGGATTCCTCTGGAGCTGTAAAACCAGGACTGGGATCCTGACCAGCTAGACCCCACCCGCACAGCACCCCATAAAACTGCTGCTGCTCTTCGGACCTGTGCTGCCCTCAGTTTCTCAAACTGAAGCCCTCTTCTGTCTTCTCTGACTTTATTTTGTTAGGGGACTGTCTTATCTGTGTCAGAGTTGTGTTCCCCTCTATTTTCTCTTTTTAATTCAATCCTTTTCCTGTGAATGTATGCTGAGTAACTCAGGTTTAATTTCCATTTTCCCTGAAGCAAGGATGGGTGCTAGCTGAGGCTGATTTCTCCTACTCTTTACAAGTGTATCTCTTCATCGGGTGGCTCACAGAGCAGAGACTAAGAAGGAGTTCTGTACAAAAGCAGCTGAAACTCCTTGCCAGTGTACCAGGTCTGAACCTGTTCTCTGCTGTGCTAAGGGAGATCTTGTTTGATTCTTAACCCAAGACTGTACGTTTTAAAATCATAAAAGCTCCATAGAGTCCTTTTCTAACTTGGTTTCTTACCATCATTTCTGCTGATTCTCACAAGCTCTAAATGGTAAGGACTGTTATTAACCCCCTTTTATTGTAATGCCTGTGCACAGTAAATACAGCCGAAGCCAGGGTGTTTCCTGGGCTCATTTGCAGTCACAGGACTAGGGAAGGGCAACTGAGACTTAAGGCCTGGCTCCTCATCAGATGGCTTGTGTTTTCTGCCACAAGACCCACCTACCTAGAGAGGGACCTGGGCCTCTGAAGATGTCAGTATTGTTAAAGCGCCTTCTGCTTACCCAGTCTAGTTCCAGCAAGTGACCTTTGGGCGGTATTAGTGATATTTTAATTTGGTTCATTAAAAGTTCAGGTGAATCTGATAGACATCCATGAGTTCCATGCTAAATGAATACAAAAGCATTTGAAATGCTCTTTCTGTACTTAAAAGTAATGACCTGATGGGAAATGCAAATCAGAACTACATTGAGATCCCATCTCAGGTCAGTCAGAATGGCCACCACCAGGAATACAAAAAGCAGCCAGGAGTGATGGCGCACACCTATACCTTGAGTCCCAGTGCTCTGGATGCTGTGACAGGAGGATCACTGCAAGTTGGAGGCCAGTCTGTGCTGCAAAATGAGTTTAAGGCTAGCCTGAACTACATAAAGAGACCCTATCTCAAAAAAGAAAAACATTTTGGCACATGCTATAACATGAACAAAGCTTTAAGACAGTGTGCCAAGTGAAATAAGCCATCTACAAAAGGACAAATATTACGTGATTTCACTTGTGTGAAGTTCCTAGAATAGATTCATAAAGGCAGAAAGTAGAATAGTGGTCTGTGGGGGAGATAGGGAGTATAGGGATAAGCTGGGAGGATGATAAGTTCCCAAAATGGATGGAGGGTGATGATTGCGTAAGTGTGATGCACTTAATGCCACAAGGATGCAGCATTAAAGTGGCTGGAATGGCAATTTTTATGTTGTATATTTTACCACAATAAAAAATAAATATGTTCTTAGTCTGGAATGGAGATACTCTTGAGTCCTTTAGGGCAGAAAGCAAGAAAATATACAGTCAGACTCACCTGCTGGGAGCACTTGCTGGGAGTAGGTGTATATTTTTTAAGGTGACTCACCAAACTTGAAACCATGGAGAAAGGAAAATGATTAAAATTTAGGTATGTGATTCTTCAAGGGTATTTCAGGACTTGGGAAATTCAAAGTATGGTTTGGACCAGATGCGGAAAGATTGATTTGAAACAGTGTTTCAGTTTTATATTTAAAGAGGTTTAATTTTCAAGTATATAAAGTCACAAACTGTAAGTGTATGTGTAAAAAAATACTGTTGGCTGGTAGAGAGGTCTTTGAGGCCCTTCTTAATGAATAGATAAAAGTTATAAATAAGGCATTTAATTATTGAGCACCTTAGTAGTTGCATAGTTTATTGAATGACTGTTAACAAGTATTCCTGGGCATTTCTCTATTCCTTAAGTAAATCTGAATATACCGTTTTTTAATAATGAAAACTCAATTTTTAAAAGTTGTTTTATTGCAACCTTAATAGTATCTAAATTTAGTAGTTTCTGAGGCTTATTTTTAAGGTTCCATCCTTTATGTTGTGATTCTTACAGATAGCCCTGAAGAAATTATGCCAACGGCCAGGTGTGGTGGCACATGCCTGTAATCCCAGCACTTGGGAGGCTGAGGCAGGAGGATAGCTGTGAGTTCCAGGCCAGCTTGGGCTACATAAGCAAGTTAAGGCCAGCCTGTACTACATAATGAGATCCTATCTCAAGGAAAAGAAAAAAATGAAATTAACCCAAGGAAAATATTCCTGTTAAATTTTTTATCAAACAGTTACTGGTATATGGTAAATCAAAAACGCTTACCTACTGAGTTTGGGCAATGATACAGATTTCGATTTTAGTTGCTATTAAGTTTCTGTAAGTGAGAGATGAAAAATATACCATGATCTAGATTCTGAATACTTTATGTTAAATAGATTGATACTAAGTGTTCTGTTCTTTTTAACTTTAGCAAAAAGTCCCAGAAGTGGGATGAAATGAACATCCTGGCAACCTATCATCCAGCTGACAAAGACTATGGTTTAATGAAAATAGAAGAACCAAGCACTCCTTACCATAGGTAATGTTACATAGACATTTTTCCTTTTGCAGCTTGTTTCCCTTTTGCATTGACAGTGAGCGTCTGGATTACAGCTACTTTGAATGGATTTGATTTTACATTTTTTTGTTACTGGAGCACTAAGTAATAACCTGCTTGCTTCTCCTCCCCCATTTGGATTCAAGGTCTCAAGTATGTTGGCCAGGCCAGCCTCAAACTCATAGTCCTTCTGCCTCAGCCTTTTGGCTGCTGGGATTACAGACGCGTGCCACCATTCCTGGCCCCAACTGCATAACTTTTTATTAATGAGTAATATATGATTTTAAAATTACAGGAACTATTTTGTGTATTATAATTATGCTAGTAAACATTTATTTGTTGCACTGGAATGGTTGCCAGCTGCTAATAACACACACAGGTTAGTGAGTTTTGCCTTCCTTGAAGGGAAGAGGGGATGTGGGTTTGCTTGCTTCCCAAGTAGAACTCAGGGGCTTTCTTTGCAGAAAAGCATAACTGCATGGGTGGTAATGGTGGTCATTTGTACTATTTCTTGTCATTTTTGAGCTTATATAGGTACATTGTAATTTTTGGCAATTTTGAGTCAAATATTTTTTAAATGACTTGTGAAAGGATACTAGGTAATAGTACCTGATAGGAAGACAAAAATCATGTACCAATAAACATTAGAAGAATACAGGGCCGGGGATGTAGCTCGGCAGCACAACACCTGCCTGGCAAGTGTGAGGTCATGAGTTCTATTCCCAGTACCAAAAACCCCCACAAAAACCCAAAAAATCTTTTGGGCCGGGATTATAGCTCAGTGGCACAGCACCTGCCCGGCAAATGCGAGATCCTGAGTTAGATTCCCAGTACCAAAAAAAAAAAAGTGAAAAATATAGAGGCCAGATGTGGTGATGCACACCTGTAATCCCAGCACTTGGGAGACTGCGGCAGGAGGATCACTGCGAGTTTGAGCCTGGGCTACATAATGAGACCCTTCTGCAAACCAAAAAAAAAAAAAAAAAGAATATGGAGCTGGGCATGGTGGTGCACACCTGTAATCCTAGCACTGGAGAAGCTGAGGCAGGAGGATTGCTGTGAGTTCAAGGCCAGTCTCCACTACATAGTGAGACCCTGTCTCAAAAACAACAAGAAAAAAGAATATAGAGATTCCAAATACAGTGGCACCTGTGTTCACAAACGCTTTTGTCTGTGAATATTTTGGTTTTCAAACAAAAGCGTTTGGCAAAATTTTGTTTTTGTTTGCAAACTCTACCTCAGGTGACAAACATGACCGCAACCATCTTTCCCACACAAACACAAATATGGCCATGTTTTCCAAAATTATGGAACAAATTAAGTTCATGAACCAAGGTACGACTGTAACCTAGTTAAGATTATGCCTTAACTTTTATTGAAAAATAAAAATATCCAAGCTGAAATAGTTTGTCATTGAAGTAAGACAACCTAAATCCATAAGTTACCATTGTAATAAGAGTTAAGAAATGCTATATTTTAAATCAGTGGATTAAAACTTTGGAAGATATTTTTAAATAACTTGATACTAATGAAACAGCAAAAATGAGCATGAAGATGTTAAAAATTGTGCCAGTGTTAGAAATAACTAAAGAAATAGGGTGCAGATTATGAAACTCAATACTAACGAAATTTGAAGAAAGAAGCATCTATGAAGAAACATATCCGTATTTTTCTCCTGTTTACAGGTACATACTTTAAAATACATCTCAGAACTCTTGATTGAATCAAAAACTAGTCAGGCCTTTCTCCTTGCTCAAACATGGTAGCCATCCCTCCCTTACCTGTGAGTTTGGGAGAGCTGATTTAAAGTAATGAAGACCAGACATGATTGTCTTAAAAAATTTGTAGGCATTTTTTTATTTAAAATGCAGTAAATCTAAATAGTAGATACTCAGTACTCCTTTTTTGTTTTGTTTCACCTTACGTCCTCCTGAGAATTGCTGAAAAGGGCATTTGGTGTGTATATGAGGCCTGTGTATGCACAGATATGTGTTCTCAGCTTTTATCAACTGAGTACAGTTTTACCATTCTTTTTGTGAGTTTTTTAAGTGTTTTGTTAAAAAGAGGGTGCTTTTCATAGGAAGTTCGTGTTACACTATTTACGAGTATTAATTCAATCCTGTAATGTAGATGAGTTTATTTCACCTTCCCTTGAAAAAAGAAACATCACCTTAACTATTGTACTTACTTAGCTTGTCTCCTCAGTTGACCTGGGAATGTGAGCCAGCAGTTCTTTATACACATTTCAGTTCTGTTTAATGTATCTATCTTGAAAATTAAGGACACCCATTTTTGCAGTAATATTTGAGAAGAATTTTCATTAGATGGTATAGTAGAAAAGCCAAAAGCTTTTAAACTTCATGAAGTAGGTCTTTAGGGTCTAATTTTCTCTTACCTCATCTTATGTCTATAGAGATAATTTGTTGCTATCTTAACAGAGATATACACATATTCTAAAACCAAAGGGTGGTTTATTTAGCATTGTTTTCCCTCACTGGATGAAATAATTGCAACTTCATAGTATTTTTTTTAGATGATTGGAGTTTTCGGTGTCTCTTTATGGTTGCATTTTTAATAATCGTTTGGAGTCTTAATTGGTTCTATACTTTTACTTTATTTTTGTTTTTTTAGTGCTGGGGATTGAACCGGGCAGGGCCTTGTGCATGCTAGGCAAGCATTCTGTCTCTGAGCTGTGCTTTTAAATGTCTGCATTGAATAGAAACTATCTAAAATAACCTCAGAGATAAAGACAGAGCTGTTAATGTTTTGATATTTTAATTGGGTAATGGAATTATGTTTTTCTATTGAGTTTTCCTAGTGGAAAATTCTATTTCATGTATTAATTGCAATGTGTTTATCATCCTAGTATGATAGGTGATGATGAAGATGCAGTTAGTGATTCAGAACCGACAGAAGCCCTAACTCCAGATGTCTTAGCTAAGAAGTAAGTACTAAAGCATTTTCATTTGTATAGGTTATACTTGTACAGTTAGACGTTTTATACTGCTTTACTTTTTATTTATATACATATAATATAAAAAGGCTAAATTTACCTGGTTGTTGTTTCTGTTTGCTTGTGGATGCTGAGCATTAAACTCAAAGCATTCAAATGCTAAGCCTGTGCTTTACCACTGACATCCCCAGCTCCTGTCTAGGTTTTTCATATCATTTCTGGGACTTCCATAGGTGGCAGGAAGATTAGAATGCCTGGTCCAGGGATACTGAGGTGTATTTTGTTCCCACGATTTTGTTTTGTTTAGTATCCTGCCACCTGTGTTTTAAAGACAGAAATGAGGAAGGCAAAAAATAGGTTAATTCATGAAACAAACTTTTGCTGTTGCAGATTTCTAATACCAGTGGCACCGTGGTTTTTTTTGTGTGTGTATTGGTTTTGACACCCATTCCTACCCTTTTACTTTTTATTTTCCTTAATGATCTGTTTTTGTCTTTTTGAGAAAAGGTTTCGCTATGCACTTCAGGCTGGCCTTGAACTCACTTTGTAGCCCAGGCTGACCTCAAACTCATAGCAATCCTCCCAAGTGCTGGGATTACAGGTGTGAGCCACCACACCCAGCTCCTTAATGATCTTTAGATGTATCATGATGCCCAAAATTTGACTGAGACACTTAAATAATATAAATATCACAGTGTTGATTTCTCTGTGAATTACTGTTGTACAGATTAGCTGCTGCTGAGGGCTCAGAGCCAAAGTATCGGCTTCGGGAACAAGAAAGCAGTGGAGAAGAGGATAATGATCTCTCACCGGAAGAGCGAGGTAGTTTACTTCCTCTCTGCTCTCAGCATGATGCTCGTAATTTTTGCTAAAATAAATCCATTATTTTGTAGGCTGGAAATGGCTTTCATTTTTAGGAAGTAAAGGGTAGGAAAGCAAAAAGCAGAGTTTGTTTATTTATTTGTTTGTGGGCCTTGTGTTTGCCAGGCAGGTGCTGTGCCATGGAGCTACATCCCTGGCCCTGAAAGTGGTATTTTTATGATACAAATTCTGCTTGGGTGCCTATTGTATGATAATTTCCCCTGGTTTTAAGAATTTGGGGGAAACACTGCCATCTTTCAAATAATTGTAAATACACCTTTCTTACTACTTTTTTTTTTTTTCCCCAGTACCGGGAATCAAACTCTGGGCCTTGCGCTTACCAGGCAGGTGCTTATGCCGCTGAGCTATATCCCCAACCCCCTTATTACATTTTAATACCTGCCATGATACAGATACTTAACTACTTATTTAATTTGTTTAAGAGTTGAGTTTGGGTAGTCTTAAAGTGGATGTCTGTAAGAGCTAAGTTTCTTACTAGTGCTTTTTCTGTTATAAGATAGTGGTACAGTTTAGCAAATGAACTAAGATAGTCAAATGTAGAGTGAAGATCTTTATAGGCTGTAGGAAACAAGAGCAGTAGTATCATAGAAAAGGAGGTAGAAGCTGACCTTTCCATAGCAGGGATAAAAGAGGCCTGCATAGTACATCCATAGTTAAGGCATTGCTACCTACATGGTTTCTGACCTTACAAGTGGCAGTGGTCATCTGTAGAGCTAAGAAGAGAAGGGATGTGTTTTTGCCTCGTTGGTTTTGTATAATTATAAGAATTTAGGGGCTGGGGATTTAGCTCAGAGGCGCAGCGCCTGCCTGGCAAGTGCAAGGTCATGAGTTCAATTCCTGGTACCGGAAGAAAAACAAAAACAGAGGGGCTGGGGATTTAGCTCAGCGGCAAAAGCGCCTGCCTGGCAAGCGCAAGGTCGTGAGTTTGGTTCCTGGTACCGGAGAAAAACCAAAAAAAAAACCAAAAAACAAAAAAGAAAAACAAAAACAGAAACAAAAAAAGAATTTAAGCTGGGGGGCAGCAAATGGCTGTAATCCCAGCACATCAGAGGCCAAGGCAGGAGGATCATGAGTTCAAAGCCAGCGCAGACTGTGAAGCAAAATAATTAATTAATTGAAAATTACATACATTTGGCCCTTCATATCTGTAGGTTTCACATCTGCAGATTGAACCAACCGTGGATTGAACATTTTTGGAAAAAATGCATCTGTACTAAGCATTTACAGACCTTTTCTTGTCATTACTCCCTAAACAATATGGTCTAACAACTATTTATGTAACGTTTGCATTGTATTAGATATAAGTAGAGCTGATTTAAAGTATGTGCAAATATTGTGTGCAAATACTATGCATGTTATATAAACAATGTTAGCATATGTAGATTTTGATGTCCACCAGGGATAGGAGCGTGTCCTGGAACCCAGTACTCCTCAGATACCAAGGGATGACTATATATAGTTTATTTCCCATTCTATTTTAAAAGGAAAAGCCTGCCTGACATGCACCAGCCCCTATATTTGATCCCTAGCATCTGGGACAAAAGATGAAAACTCAAGTCTTTGAGAATAATTCACATTATATATATAATACAAATGTATATATAACATATATAATATAAATAGTAATATTTGAAGCTTTGCAATGTGGGGACTACCTGTACTGTAAAATTCAGAAACTTTACAACTAAGACTCCAGATATATGCCAGTTAGCTATTAAGATCCTTGTCGTGTGTTGCCAGTAAGGTGTAACTAGCTATTCTTTTCTGTCCTTAGAATATAGCCTATTTAACAGAACTTTGGTCTGAGCGTAATACTTGTACAAGAAAAATTGTACAAATAACATATTCTCAAGTTGTATGATCTCTCTTCTACCCTCAGTGAATTCCTCACAAAATATGCACAAGAGGCCCTTGAAAATAGTTTCAAATAGAAATTATTTCTAGAGTTTGTTTTCCTTACTAAGCTCCAAAAACATGATCTATTGCAAGTAGGGAATTTAACTACTGTATAGTGTTGCTCAATTTCTGAACTTGTAATTCCGTAAGTCAGCCTGCAGGCGGAGCCATGCGACTAATTACAATTTGAGTAATTCAGTTCCCACCAGTAGTTACTAAATTTTTTAGGTGTTTTTCACTTTAATCATGTGTCTGGAAAAACATTGTTTATTGACAGTAGAGGTTCTTAGAAAAAAGTTGTCCTGTGCAAACATCTATTAATAAAAATTTTTAAACAATTAACTCATATAAGAAAAAATTGTCGGGGCTGGGGATTTAGCTCAGCGGCAAAAGCGCCTGCCTTGCAAGCGCAAGGTCGTGAGTTCGGTTCCCAGTACCGGAGAAAAACGAAAAAAAAAAAAAAAAAGAAAAAATTGTCTTGTAATTTATAGCATATGATTGCCTATGGGGCCCACCAAACTCAAAGTTTGGATTCTAGGTATGCTATGCTACAAGATATTGCCCACAAAAAGTAAAAATAGCTATAAAAAGGGTTTTTCACTTGTGGAGTTAATATGGATAATTGGCTATTTTTGAGATAGGCCTAAAACCTAAACATCCTTTTATTCTTGCATTATGTTGCTCTGGCGTACAAGAGTCTCAGGAAAAATTGAGACCACTTATATTAGCAGCTTTCTATGAAATGAATACTTTGCACATTTAAAAAATATAATAAATTTGAGTGTTTCAAAATTAGAATATAGTTATAATAAGCAAAATTCAATATCTTTAAATTTGGGAATATGTATGTACAGGCATCCCTCCCTATATCGCAGTTCACTTATTGCAGCTTCACTGTATCGTGGGTTTTTTTAAAAAAAAAGCTAATTCTGTATCATGGAATTTTTGCTATATCATAGGATTTTGCAGTATATATGTATTTAATGTGTATGATTTTACTTATTTTTGTCTAAAGAATTTAAAAAGTATAAAATGTTAATTCAAACATATTAACACAATATGAAATTGAAATCAAATACTGTACACAATGGAAATGCAGTACACCACCACTGCTTGTACACATTTGCCAACATGAGATTGTACACGGCAAAGGAAACCAACCACCACACTTTGTTCTGTATCCTGGGTGCTGATTGGCTCAGTGACCATAGCATTGGTCTGTTTGTTCTCCCACACTATGCCCATACGTTCAGCATCTCTCCTTGTCCACTTCACATGGAGTACCCATATAGAATTCTACATGTTGTTAGAATTACGTAGTTTTAAGAGTGTAGAAAGTGTTTAAGAGCATATGAAGTATTTATAAGAGTGTGGGAAAGGTTAATAGAGTAGGAAGGGTTTATAGGAGTGCGGAAAGGGTTTATAAAGCCTTAAAACATATATAAATAATAAAATAAATGTAACACCGCTACTTTGTGGATTTTCACTTATCGCGGGGAACTCTGGAATGTAACTCCCATAATAGGTGAGGGATCACTGTATATAATTAGGGGAGGCAGCACTTGGAATTGAACTCAGGGCCTTTGCACTGAGCTATGTGCCTGATACAGTTTGTTTGTTTGTTTGTTTTAAATTTTGAGGCAGAGTCTGAGTTGCCCAAGCTGTGCTTGATCTTCTGATCCTCCTGCCTCAGCCTTCCAGAGTGCTGGGATTACAGGCATCACACCCAGCAGGAGTAACTTTTTTAGACTATGAAAATATAACTCACAAAAGATAAGTACTGTAGTACTAACTCCTGGGGATAAGTACCTGCAAATAAAACAGCCTTGTGATATCTTTCTTTCATTTCAGATCAACAAAGATTAAAAAAAAATGCACCTGAATTATGGGTATACTTCAGTGGTAGAGCATTGGCCTAATATGTACAAGGCCCTGGTTTTGACCCCTAGTACCATATATACAAATATATTGAAGTATGAGTATGGAAAGTATGTAGTATGAGTATGAAAAAATGGATTGAATTATGAAGTATGGAAAGTATGAGTATGGAAAAATGGATTATTCATATCCTGTGAAAAATGGTTTAACCATTTGGAAGTGATTTTTAGATGACTGTGTGCTACATGCCTATAATTCCACCTATTAAGGAGGCCAAGGCAGAAGAATCACAAGTTGGAGTCTGGCCTGCACAATTTTGTGAGACCCTGTTAAAGATGCTGGAAGTGTAGCTCAGTGCTCCCTGGCTTCAATCTATAGTACCTCCATAAAAGAAAGTGTATTTCACTAGTTCTCACCTATTATACATATACTAATAAAACTACAAAACAAAGTCACATATCAGTACTTATCTTTACTATATGTGATACATTCCAATGTATTCTACTTTATTTCCTTTTTTTTTTTTTTTTTTTGTTTGTTTTTTAAGATTGGATTTCACTATGCAGTTCAGGCTGGCCTTGAATTTACTGTGTAGTCCAGGCTGGCCTCGAACTCACAGCAGTCCTCCTGCCTCAGCCCCCCAAGTGCTGGGATTACCATTACTCATGTGCTACCACACCCAGCTCGCTCTTCTTTTAAAATGTTAGTGTTGACTTAACCAAAGAGTCGTAATACTCAGCTTGAAAAATATTGGCTTATATTGAGAAAATACAGAACAAATGTTCAAAGCTCTGTGTGTGTGTGTGTGTGTGTGTGTATAAAACATTGAAAAGCTGGGGGAAATCAAATCTTTGACAATAGGGAATTAAATCATAACTCAGTACCTTGTCGCTATTCAAACAAATCTTATGTACACAGCAAAATATTTACTTTATTGTTTGAATTGAGTTATTTTGAAAATGAAAGTATCACTCCTACGGTTTTCTATTTCTACATTACAGTGGGTATAGTCTGAGACTACCCTTCGCAAACTGGGGTTATGATCAGTCTCACAACAAAATCAGTGAAAAAATAGTCTGTACTAATACAGGATGCGTTTTTAGGAAAAACCCTACAATTACAATGATGTTAGTTGTAATTTCTGCTTTTGTTTTGGTGTGGTGTGGTGTGCTGTGTGGTGTGCAGACTCAAACCAGGGCTTCATGTGTGCAGGCAAGTGCTCTACTACTGTACTGTTCCCCAGACCACACTTCTGAGTAAGGAAATTGAGAATGACTATTCTGTGATGAGAAAAAAAATGGGTACTTTTTAATTAAATTAACTATGGCGGGGCTGGGGATTTAGCTCAGCGGCAAAGCGCCTGCCTGGCAAGCGCAAGGTCGTGAGTTCGGTTCCTGGTACTGGAGAAAAACCAAAAAAAAAAAAAAAAAATTAACTATGGCAATGACAATGAATAAAACAATTATTTTTAGTATGTCTTAGTTTTGATTCTACAATATCTGTATAAGTGAAAGATGTCACTAAATATTTAGTCATGAAGATTGGGTCTTTTTATTGAACTCTTTTTATTTCTCTGTGTGATATGGCACTTTAAAAAACAAAACAAATCACAAAAATGTAAGTAGAGAAGAGGAAAGATACCTGGCAAGATCTTGGTAACTTGAAACAAATTGTAGGGTGATGACATGGACATCAGTCTTAAAAATTCCCCTTTTCCATTGCAAATAGAGGCTGAAGAGTGCCTGACAAGTAGACATGAACGTTTTTAAAAAATATAAGTATAAAGGATAAACACTCAGGAAATTAGGTGACATTAACAAAGTACTTTGAATTGCTTTATTCTCAGTGATGTCTCCATGACTCTTGGAGAGTAAAATAGTTTAATGAAGTTTTTCAATAAAGAACAGTGATGGAATTTTAATGTTCTGCATTGACACAATAGACTAGTTGTTGGGCAATTTTATAGTGACTTCTCCTTAAAAATTTACAGGTCTGAAAAGTTTTAGAATTATTTCTTTAGAAACACTTTAAAATGCCATTAGTAAAATGCGATCGGTTGTGTTAAATTGCTCCCTAGCATTGTATGTCTGTGGTAAAAACTAAAGCAATAGCAAGTTTCAACCCAGAGTTAATCATCACTAATTATTGAGTCTTGCTTGGTTCATTCATTTATTCACTTACATGTAGTATTGTAGCTTACTTTTCTCCCCAATTCAACTCTTGCTGGAGAATTTTCCCATATCTTTATGTATTTGTTTTTGTCTTTTTGAGACAGGGTCTCATTATGCAGTTCAGGTTGGCCTTGAACTCAGTTTGTAGTCCAGGCTAGCCTCAAATTTGCAATGATCCTCCTGCCTCAGCCTTCCAAGTGCTGGGATTAGAGGCATGCGCCCCTCCCCCCTGCATGTGTTCAAACAACCTGTAAAGTGTACCTAGTAAATATTTTAGATTTTTTTTTTTTTTTTTTTTTTTGGTTTTTCTCCGGTACCGGGAACCGAACTCACGACCTTGCGCTTGCCAGGCAGGCGCTTTTGCCGCTGAGCTAAATCCCCAGCCCTAATATTTTAGATTTTGAGGGCTATGTTATCTCCCTTGCAAACTGTTTAACTTTTCCATTGGCATATTTTTCTATAAAGTGCACAAATGGTAAATATTTCGGATTTTGATGGCTGTCTAGTCTCTATTGGACACTACTCAGCTCTGCCACTAAACACAACAGCAGCCTTAAACATGCCAAGGAGCTGAGCACTGCTGTCTCCTGATAAAACTTCACTAGATTACAAGTGCGAGGCCCTGAGTTGGAGTCCCTGTACTCCAAAAAAGGAACTTCCACTGGAACAGGCACGGCCAGTCCTTGAGCCAGAAATTTCTAAGCTGTCTTTTGTATCTTGCAGAAAAAAAGCGACAATTTGAAATGAAAAGGAAGCTTCACTACAATGAAGGACTGAATATTAAGTTAGCTAGACAATTAATTTCAAAAGACTTACATGATGATGAGGAAGACGAAGAAATGTCAGCAACTGCAGATGGTGAAAGCATGAATGTTGAAGAATCAAAGCCAGGTTAGATGTTTTTAAAATATTACTGAGATGGTTCTCTGAGTCTATGATAATTTACTTTGCTTTAAGCTTGAAAAAACCTGAGGTCATTTTGCTGATTCACTTTATTATTACACCAGTGTTTGCAAAATTTCAATCTGTGATAATTAAAGTTTATTATGCCCATAGTTGACTTAAGAGCATATGTTACGTAGCTGTTTTTTTCTTACGGTTTACTTGGGTTTAGGCAAGGATACGTGTTTTCATATTAAGCTGTGTTTTGTTTTGGCTTTCAGGTCATATTTTGTCATAATCTAAATTAAAGAAACCTGTTTTTAATATGGAAGATTTGTTTTTTAACACCTCTTTAGATTCTAAAAGCATGTTGCCATCTTTCCAGTGTGATTCTTTGGACTTGATTGACAAATTATTTGACTTTGTTTTTTCAGGGCATTGAACCCAGGGGCTCACATATACTAGGCAAACACTACCACTGAGCTAAATCCTCAGCCCTTCATGGTTTCTTTTAATATATTGACTTGAACATTGCTTTTTTTTTAACTTTTCATCAGCTTCTACTTAAACGTTCAATATCAACGCTTAGGCATTAGGAATGCACTTCATTTGCTGCTGGAAATTTGCACCCAGTACTACTGTGTCAGAGAATAAAGGGATTTCTCTTTCTGTTTCTTTTAAGTGATTACTTTTAAAATATAACTCTGGCCATGCAGCTAGTTAGGAGGCTTAGGCACAAAAGTCGTAACTGTGAGGCAAGCCTTCACAACATTACTGTGACCCTGTTTCAAAATAAAATTTTAAAAAGGGATGGGGCTGTAGCTTGCCATCCCTGGGTTCAGTGCCTAGTGCTGGCAGCAAAAAAAGAGGAAGAAAACTAGCTTTTGTCCATCTCTGCCTATAAGACCTTAAAATTTCACACATTTACTAAATATTTTTTTCTGTGTAAGCATACTGATTACTAAAATTTATATTAGCTCAATGCCTGATTTTTCTTCAGTGGAGATAAAAGTCCTCTTTGTGAAAAGTACTCTTTTGTGTGTATGTTTACTTTAAGGATATATCTTTATGTATAATCCTCCTTATCATAAACTCCACAAGAATAGAATGTACTGTATAATAAGGCTTAAAGAAGTAAGTTCTTGTGGCTCACACCTGTAATCCCAGCACTTGTGAGACTGAGGCAGGAGGATTGTTGTGAGCTTGACACCAGCCTGGGCTGCAAAATGAGCTCAAGGCCAGCTTGAACTGCACAGATTTACTAACCTTTAAAATATTCAGGTCCTACAGAATTCATTACTTTTCGAATATTGGCAGTCTCCTTTCTTTTTTCTCTTGTGCTTTGCCCCCATTCCCACCTGTTTTATTGCTGTTTTCATGAAGAGTAACATGTTTAGATTCTGATGTGTGATATCTTATAGTTTCCAGATTTAAAAGTGTAAATCTTTTTATAATTTAAGTGTTTGAGTTGTAATAAACGCTTAACTTTCTACCTGCGGTTTTCTTGTAGAAATGTTTGATCAGACGCATATTTGTCCTATCATCACATACTTATTTTGCTTTTTTAGAGCATTTAGGGGTATATTAGTTCATATTAATCTAACTCAGTGTATGTAAAACAAACTTTCGTTTTAAAGCTTTCATATTTGTCTGCAGTCCATACCGATAAGGTAGTTAGTTCCAAGGTTGACATAGGCAAATTATGTTGACTTTGTTCTTATCTTTGCAGGATCTACTACAGGTGATCAACGGCAAAACAAATCATAAAGTTCATAGAAGAGCTTTGTTCAGCACTGCAGTTGTCAAATACAAGTCCTGTTACTATAATACACTGCTTCTTCTTCTCCACAATTCATGATTTATGAATCAAAATACATCCCAGTTTATTATATATTGCCAAGAATTAAATGATGACCTTAGAGACTGATTAGACGAAAATGCCTAATGAATGCATATATTCTTGTGCCTCATACGTCACCACAGATACAGTATAATCTCATCAGTCCAAAACTGCTTTACTTTTGTAAGAACACTGGTTGATTTGTATAAGATATTATATAGCTTTTTATGCGTTAGAAGTTAACGTCTTTCGGGGGGAGGGAAACTAACTTATTTTCATCACTTGTAGATGTGGTACCTCTTATAAAGAGTTAGTTGGGCTTTTTGCTTTTTACCAAAAGCCAGTTGGAACTACAGGACTTACAGGTTGATAAATACTCAGGCTGAAAGGTATTTTTAACAGTTGTCTTTAGTGTGATTTGTCTGTTTGAGAAGGATTACAAGAGTTACTGTTATATTTTCTAGTTACAACCTTCAGAATACCTGTTGAGGGGTTTTTTTGTGCTTACAAGGAAAGGATTGACATTTTTCTCATCAAAACCAGATTGTTTTTGTTTTTGTTTTGTTTTTTAGATGTCATATTAAACTTGCACTAATGTCTGCTCTGCTTGTTTTGGTGCACTGGGCAGACTTCAAATCAGTTTCTTCAATAAATACAGTTCTAGTGCAGCTATGTCTGCTTCCCCTTACATAGCTGTCTTTATTGCCCACTCCTTCGTACGCATACGAGGATCACAAAGATTGTGACAATGTTAGGCACTCTCCTTTCTCTCACATACTCTTGTCATTTGCTGCAATAATGAAACTCTCACTGCTTATCAATGCCTAATAGTTCTACTTGTGAAGAAAGTAGTTGAGTAGCAGCAGTACTATAAACAGGATATGTAATTCAACTGCTGATTTCTGTACCTCTGGCTTACACCTTGATAATTAAATTGCTATTATTAGCTCATTTGACTTAATTAGACCTTAGAAAACAGTTAAGGACTTTTTGCATGATGAGAGAATTGTGTGTAACCAGTGATATGATTGTTGCTGAATGTACAGACAGAATTAAGCCTGAACATTTTTTAATTTAAAAAATTTTAATAGACCCTGCTTTCAGGGAATATGATAATGTATCTTATGACAAATGTCCTTTATTCTTCTAACACAGGATTATTTGGATTATTTTTTTTCCCTAAAATGAAGTGTCCTGTGTATCTTGGTTTAGTGATGATTTCATTTCTAGTCAATTATTTGTATCAGTTTTTTCTTAGTACCAAGACTCCATTATATGAACAGACTTTTAAAATAATTTCTGTATATTACATATATATATATATATATATATATATATATGAAAAGGCTTTTATTGAAGAGCTGATCTTCCACTTGCAAGTTTATGGAAATATCAGTATGTTGAAATAAATAAAAAGTGGGAGAAGAATACTTGCTATTAGAAGAATATATTGTTTTGAATACTTTTTTTAAGTGGTGTCTAACCAGTACCTCTGAACTATAGGTATAGTATTATAACTGAACCTCTGCCTTCTGAATTAAGTGTATTTGGGGGATTGTGGAACTTAAAACTACACATGTGTTCACAGAGGCTCTGCTTTTGGTTTTCTCTTTTCGAGTTCTTAGGAAATACCCACGTGTTTTTTGTTTGTATTGTATTGGGGATTGAGTTCAAGGCCTCATGCATGTTAGGCAAGCACTGAGCTACATCCCGAGCCCACCCTTTGTTCCTTCCTTCCTTCCTTCCTACCTACCTTCCTTCCTTCCTTTCTCTCTCTTTCTTTCTTTCTTTCTTTCTTTTGAGGCAGTATCTCACTAAGTTTCCCAAACCGACCTCAAACTCTTATGATCCTCCTGCCTCAGCTGCCCAAGTAGTTGGTATTACAGGTATGTGCAACCATGCCCAACTTCCACATACTTTTATTTGTAGAAGCAGTTGCTGTACAGTGCACAAAAAATAAGACTTTTAAACAACTGATTCTTTTGGTGATTTCTATAAACTATTTCTTGAAACTTTTTAAAAATTGTTTTTTATTTCTTGAATCTTAAATCAGAAGCAAACTTATTTCTAGTTTCAGAAAGTAGATGATTATCTCACAAGTATAAGACATGCCAAGTAGCATGCTCATTAAGATTTTGGGTAGTCAGGTGCAGTTGAATAAAAATGTTTCAGCAAGTCTTGGACTGGTCAGTAAAATAAACCATTATGGACTGAGACTGTAGCCCAAGGATGGGGCACTTGCCTAGCATGCATTACATCCTGGGTCTTGCCCCCATACCACAAAAAGAAAAGAGAAAAAGGAGCAGCTGCTGCTGCTGCTTTATGATCTAAGGTATTTCCTTTGGAGAAAGTTATCTATGAATATTTGGTTCTAGCCAAGGTAGATTTTATTTCCAGTCATTTATTCATTATTATTTCCTGTGCTTAACTCTAGTGTCACCTTGTCTGTTCATTTCTTCGTCCAAAGTTCAGCAAGGATGCCTCTTTTAAAATCAGAAACATAATATTAAATGGATTGTTAAAATAAGAATAACTTTTAAATTAGACTTAATAACTTTTAAATGAAGCTTAAAGCCAAATGCCATTTTCCCCTAAACTTTCATTCTGTTTTTCCATCTAAGTTAGTGTATCCTTCACTAACAGTGAAATAAGTGTGCCATTGGCCTGTGTGTGGATTTTATTTCCTTGTGAGTCATCTATCTCAGGATCATGTTCCACTGACCAAGTGTTGACACGAGAGTGGGTCTTGGATTATACTGTAGCTGAGTAGTTTCCTTGGTTATAGTAAAAACTGTAACAAAAGCTGCCATTTTTTTGAGACACTATTTGCTCCTGTCCAGGTCCCTTGAATCTAATCCTTGAAACCGCCACACAAAGCAGGCATTCTTCTCTGCACTTTATAAATGAGGAAAATGCTCCTGGGCCAAGTCATTTGGGTTCAGTGTCTCATACCTACTACGTGACAGGATGCAAATCCAGATCTAACTAAACTCCATGGTCTTTTTTTTTCCATGCTTTTTTAGATGTAGAAAATTCATTTTATAAATTGCACCTTACAAAGAAACCTTATTTGGATTCTTGTACATACTGTCTGCTTTAGGAGAAATATTTTTCCAAGTATTTAGTTTGTTTTTTTAATCTGAAAAATTGAAAATTTTTTTAGGGTTTGTATGGCATTTAGGAAAATCAGATGCACCAAATGCTTAGTGGCTAGAGATTTCTGAATGCATGATTTGGTTGTATTCCACGAGTTTGTTTCTAAGCGTACTGTTTCAAACTTAGAATATGGTATTTCAGAACATGAATCAGTGTTACAGAGTCAAGTAACAAACTGGTCTATAAAAATCAGTATGTATGTAAACCAATGTGTCGCTGTGTGTCTATGAAACCCTTGTAGTACGAGATGTTCTGTGAAGAGAATTCCATAAGCAGATAAGCGCTGCATATGTTCTACGCTTTATTTCCCTACCCCATGCAGATTTATGGTAATGCATATTTAAAAGGTCTGTGGGGGACATGGAGGTAGCTCAGTGGTAAAATGCATCCTTAGCATGTGCAGAGACCTGGGTTCAATCCCTAGGAGGAAAAAGAACAAAAAGTCTGAGAAGTCTTGATTAAAGGAATTTGTTTAAATTGGGTGGGTATATCAGCATTTTTCAAATGTATTTTATAATAAACATCCTACCTTATCTATCCAGAAATATCCCAAGTAGGGGATGGGATGTAGACTAGGATTTCTAATATATGAAAGTTGAACATTCTAGACAAGGCAGAGAATGATTTATAATTTGCCAAACATAAGACTTTAATTTTTGGTAACTTATGCAATACCCTGTGAAAGGCGTATCCCGGACGGATGCGGGAGTGGTTGATGTGGTGGTGCTGAGGCACTGTGGTTAGTACTGATACGACTGCTGCTCCAAGATTTGCTGCTCTAGGCAGTTTTCCAAAACGTTTTGTCCTTGCCATCAGCTCTTGCCTAGTTGGTTGACGGGAACATCTGCTGCTCCTTGGGAAAATAGAAGACAGAGCAAGTGTGTCTGGTCTGTGGCTCATGCCCCCAAGCCTTGGCTAATTGGTTTTGTTTTGTTCTGTTCTTTTAGCTCCTATACTTTAAATTTGGGTTTGACTCACTTTTTAATTTGAGAAATTATTGGGGAAAGGTAATGATGAGACTAGGTAAATGAGGGTGGATTTGGCAAGTGTTCAGTCATGATTTTATCTCAACTGCCCAGCCCGAAAGGTTTTTCTCAGTACAACTGCCAAGTGTTATCATTGCAGTTCTGTTCCAATGGGAGTCATTGGAACTGGGAGAGAATGTCTGTAAATTGTTACTCCGCTCCATTTCTTCTTGGATCAATGACAGTGTTGACTAGAAATAGAAGTGGTGTGGGCTGATCTTTTCCATCATAATCACTCCATTTGGGGCTGGGGATTTAGCTCAGCGGCACAGTACCTGTCTGGCAAGCGCGAGGTTGTGAGTTCAATTCCCAGTACCAGAAAAAAACAAAACAAAACAAACCATAGTCTCTCCATTTGACCTCACTGTGTAGGTACCCTGGCTTATATTTTTTTTTAATTTTTTTTTTAAGTAAAGGAACGAAAATATTAACAAGCATACCTTTACAAAACAACACAAGAGCAATACAAGCAGTACTGAAATTCAGACAAAGTGATAGGAAATTAACAGTGGTTGTTGTGTTACATATTGATTTCTTCAAAGCGGTTACTCAGGAAAAATATAGACATGTAAAATTGATCAAATAATTAATCATTAACTTCCTTTCAATAAAATGATAGAAGTCCATAGTACAACTATGTTAGCTGTCCTGTATATACATATAAACATAATTTTCCCCTTCTTTCTTTTCTCTTTTCCCTCATCCCAGTTGCTCTTTTTTTTATTTAAAAAATAAGCCGGGCATGGTGGCACACGCCTGTAATCCCAGCACTTGGGAGGCGGAGGCAGGAGGATCGTTGCGAGTTCGAGACCGGCCTGGGCTACAAAGTGAGCTCAAGGCCAGCCTGAACTGCTTAGCGAGACCCTGTCTCCAAAAAGACAAAAAAAATAATTTTTAAAAAATGAGCAAATACATATTGACAAACATACATAACATTTACCAAATAACACAAGAACCATACAGCAATACTGAAATTCAGACAAGGTAATAGGAAATTAACAATGGTGGTTGTATTCCATATTAATTTCTTGAAAGTGGTACCCTGGATTATAAAGAGCTTTACAATATGTTTTGTTCAAATGGAAGAGGAAAGCTTAGGTGTACACTTACTTAGTTCAACTCTCTGGTTTCTGAAGTATTCCTTATGCAAGCAATTACAGAGTATGTTTTCTTTCTTTCTCCCTATGTAACAGTCGCTCAGCTGAAAAAATAAGCACTTTATTATTATAATGCAGCATGCCAAGCTAAATGGGGAAATACGGACTGAAGACTTCTCTATAAAGATCTTTCGAGCTTGGCTGTGCACTGCTTTGAGGGAACAAGGGAGGCGTCAGCACAGGCTTACTTGTGCCAGCCATTCTGAAGAAACCTTGCTGGAACATGAGATTGGGGAAGATTGGCTGTTTATAATTACCAAGACTGCCATGTGGTAGATTCGGGTTTTCTTTTTGTTTTTGCTGATTGTCTTAGAACCAAACTAAGATCTGTGGACACCTGCCACAAAATTGTTACTAAGCTAGATAGAACATTCTCGAACAACAGAAATGTCAAATGACTTGTTTTTTCAGACGGTCTCCTTATGTAGTGCAGGCAGGCCTGAAACTCACTATGTACTCTAGGCTGGCCTGGAACTCACAGCAATCCTCCTGCCTCAGCCTCCCTAGTGCTGGGATTGCAGGAGTGTACCATCACAACCAGCTCAAATGATTCCTTCTTAATAGCACTACCTGATACAAAATGTTGACTATGAGAAGTTGAAGCAAATTTGTGGATTGTTGCCAATTAAGTTTCTGTACCCACCAGGTGTGGTGGCGCACACCTATAATTCCAGCACTCAGGAGATGGAGGCAGGAGGATTCTTGTGAGTTCAAGGCCAGCCTGGGCTGCAAAGTGAACTCAAGGCCAGCCGGAACTGCATAGCAAGACCCCGTCTCAAAAAGACAACAGAACAAAACAAGTTTCCGTACCCTTTTCCCATAATCTCTAAATTAGTTCATGGGGTGGGGGACAAAAGGCTGGGGGAGGGAAGGGGTAGTGAGTGTCTGAGTTTTTCATGGTAAATTGCAAAGTATATAATCCAATCTTGTGGGTTGTCTTTCATACTGTTCTCAATCTAAACACAGCCTAGAGGGAAAAAAAAAACAGCAAACTACAAAGTGAACTGACCCAAAATAATTTATTGCAGTAAAAGACACATTGCTGTTATTCATCCTCAGAATATTCCCCCTCACTTGGAGCACACTCATCCAACTGTTCTTGCCAGTTTGTGAAGCTGTCCTGGAAGCCTTTAGTGAATGTCTTTAGTTGTGCTGTCCTGGCTGCCTCCAGTGTCCAGAGTTGATTCTCTGTTGACCTCTCATGTTCATTTTGACTTTGAGGAACAACCAGAAGTCGCAAGATGCCGAATCCGGTGAATAAGGTGGATAAAGACACAGGTTTTTACTGGCCTGCCTTTCTTTGGGCTGGCGCTTGGCAGCAGCATTATTTTTTTTTATCACACTCTGTACAAAAGAGGACTTCCAGATCTGCTTCAGAAAGTAGCAAGAATGACGGGATAAGTGTTCAAAGCGAAGGGGAGGGTTTTGAGTGGGATTAATGGCAATGTGTCTTTTGCTGTAATACATTTTTAAATTTAAACACAACTATATATTTTGATCATACCTCAATTCTTAGGCCTAGAGATGCAGTTCAGGCCTTGTGTTTAATCCTCAGCACAAAAAAAAAAAAAAAAAAAATTATTGGGAAAAATATACGATTACTTTGACCAAAAACAAAATATACACGAGCAAGATAGGTCAGGTGTCTGTTGCTTATGTTCCATACCTTACCCATATCACAAACAGTACAGACAGCTCTGTCCCAAAGTTAATAACCTGACACTCTGGCTTTCAACCTCGATTCACTGACTTCTCTCCAGTATGCAGATCGAGGCTGCTGGAAGCTTTACTGATCCCACCTCTCTCTCAATCCAAATCTCTCCCCCTTTCAGTCTCAAACTCTTAGTCAAGCCACCATCGTACTTACCTGTACTCCTCTGACAACCTAAGTATCTCCTTACTCATCCTGTCCCTTTCCAGTCCAGTTGCTACACAGCAGTACATGTTGCTGACCTACTGTGACTTCACCACCACCCTTAAGAATGAGTCCAGACTTAGAATGGCTTACAAGACTCCGTGTACCAGCCCCACCTATCTCTTCAAATCTTGCGCCACTCCTATAATTACAGTCCTCATTTCTGTTTTATTGTTTTTCAGTTTCTCCAGTTCCCTGTTTTCCCCCTTCACTATTTTTTTTTTTTCTCTTTGAGACAGGGTCTCACTATGTAGCCCAGGCTGGCTTTGAATTCGCAGTGGTCCTCCTGCCTCAGCCTTCCAAGTGCTGGGATTATAGGCAGGCACCACCCTGGTTGGCACTTATTTTCCATATGACCTTAATTACTTATTTTCAAAGATAACTCTCTCACAGGTGGCATTCCCTTACCCACCCTCTTTTAAAAAGTTGTCTTTCCTACAACTCTCAGGGTCCTTGTTCCCTTATCTGGTTGGTTTGCTTGGTTGTTGCCTGACTTCTTTCTAAAAAGAAAGTTCCATGAAGACAAGAGCTTTTTGACACACGGTGAGATTCTCAGAACTCTCAACAGGATGGCTCGGTAGAAGCCTTACCAAATATTTGTTGAATGAATGAAAGGGTGATGCTTGTTCATTACATGATTCACCTTTTCCTTCCCAGTCGCCTTTCCTCATGTACTCAGTGCTTGAATATTAGAACCAGGAAGGGCTTTAGGGGATCAACAAGACTAATTTTCTTGTTTTTTAAGAAGGCAACTAATATAAAGTCAAGATTGCCCAACTGGCTGTTGGCAGAGAAGAGACCAGAATCCAGTTCCTCTGGCTCCTCATTTGCATAATGAATCTCCCCTTGCATTGAACCACTGTGGCCCTATTGGCGCATTGGTTTTATTTTTTCAGCGTGGAGCAAATTAAGAAATAACATCATTCAAAATAGTCAGAAAACAAGCTCTTCTGCCCAATTAAAATTTCTCAAAACACCTGAGGCCTGGTTACAGAACCCCAACTTCTAATCATGTCAAAAGCCAGTCTTGCTATAAAATGTTGTGAATGTTGATTATTAAGTATTGCATGGTTTCCCTCATATGAGAAACCCAAAACAGAACAAAAGAAGTAGGAAGACAGGTTTTTATTGAAATGGGAAAGAGATCAAGAGATGGGGGTGGAGGAGAAGAGAAGAGGGTGAAGAAAGGAACTGAGACGTGCTCTGTGCGTGGACCAACTCCCCCCACGGAGTATAAGCAGTGAGTGCCGCAAATGTACACATGTAAAGATAAACATCAAACTCAGCAGAAGCAGAGTATAGTGGTGGGTACCAGGGACTGGGGCGTGAGGGCTGAGGAAATACTTGTCAAAGGGTATAAATTTCAATTAGATGACAGAATAAGGTTAGGAAGTCTATTGTACAGCATGGTGACGATAGCTGCTAATGTTTGGTGTACTTGAAAATTGCTAAGTGATTTTTAGAAAAAGGTTTAGTTTTTCACTTTCTCTAGTTCCATAAGTTTATTGATCCTACCCCTGTTGACCGAGCTGCCAGCACATGCAATGTCCATTTTAGAAAAAAGTTCTCAACAAAATAATATATGAAGTAATGAATATGTTAAGTAGCTTGATTTAACCATTCCACAATATATAGAGACATCTCAAATTCATGTATATCATATTAATTTTTTTAAACAATGGAAAAGTACACTTTATTCTTTTGTTTTTTGGTTTGTTTGTGGTTTTTTTTTTTTTTTTTTTGGTCTTTTTGAGACAGGGTCTCTCTATGCAGTTCAGGCTAGCCTTGAGCTCACTTTGTAGCCCAGGCTGGTCTCAAACTCACAATGATCCTCCTGCCTCAGCCTCCCAAGTGCTGGGATTACAGGCATGTGCCAACACCTCTGGCAATTCCACTTTATTCTTTTAGATTATTTTCTGCATTAGTTCTGTAAAAGCGAGTAAGTATCCAGGTGTGATGGCTCACACCTGTAATCCCAGCAACAAGGAGGCAGAGACAGGAGGACTGCTGTGAGTTCAAGGCCAGCCTGGGCTACAGAGTAAGTGCAAGGATTGCTGTGAGTTTGAGGCCAGCCTGGGCTACAGAGTAAGTGAACTATACCATATAGAGAGACCCTGACTTAAAAGTAAATAAAAGCAAGTGAGAAAAGAATGTGTTGACTTTTCAATTATTTTAAATGATGAAAAAATCCATTTGCTGGATTTCTGTACAGTTAGAGGATGTGGATAGACCAATAATAGCCATAATAAGTTTAGAACATATCTCAAACATTTTAGATACTCTCCTAAGTACACTACAGGAATGAATGCATTGAATCCCCAAACAATAGGGCTAACATGACCATGTGTTCATTACGTTTACAGTTGCCTAGGTCACCTGTGACCGCATTGTGGGGAGAAGCCACATGCAGGGTGCTGAGGCACAGGAACAAGTGTGGAGAAGGACACTGCATGTGTCAGCACCTTGGTCAAGAAGTTTAGTGGAGTAAATCAAAGATGGAAATGGGATAGCCAAGGTCGGGCAGGGATATGTAAGTTTACAATTATATTAGAAAAGAAGGGGCCAGGGATACAGCTCAGCGGTGCAGCGCCTGCCTGGCAAGTATGAGGTCATGAGTTCAATTCCCGATGCCAAAAAGAAAAGAAAAGAAGGCTCTCTCTTTTGTATGGTTATAAAATAATGTTTAAAAATTAATCACCAGTCAAAAGAGATCTGAGAGTAGCTAATCAATACTCCTGCCTTCTTTGAGCACATTCATTGTACCACGTGCACAGTGTTAAGTATGGTGGCATCTGCTCAGCCTGGTCTTAATGCAGTGCCTAAAACACATCTTTGTTACAGTGTGGGTTTGTGAGATCTGTATTAATATTTTCCATTATTTTCATGTTGTTGGCCTTCAAAAGATCATCTATTTTTAAACCTTTAATTAGTCTCCAAGCAGATGGCACAACAACTAAGAAATTTTTTTTTCAGAGTCAGAGGCTTTGGTATATATCATTAGAGCCCCAAACTTTATGGCTCTTTGTTCACACATCTTAGTAATGAAAGTACTGCATCCTAATTTTAGTTATAGTACGAATTAAAATATCTACTGATGGCAAAAAAAAGAGCTATTTGGAAAAACATTTAAAATGATCACCCCCTATTTTTTTGTTAAGTGAAGTTTTGGACAGTAAAATGGCAGGGCTTAAAGAAAGAGGATATTCCACGCTTCATAACAAAACACTTGACCACGGAGCTAGACAGCGCCGAGCTAATTTTAGAACTCAGCAGTCAAAGCAATCCTTGCAAAAGGATGTCTGAGGAAAACCAGATCTTGAGTTTACATTCTTTTGTTTAAGCCCAGTGTGTACAGAACTCAAACTCTCCCTCACCAAACAATGGTGCCGTTGTGGAGAGGTCTCTTCCTGTCACCCTTGCTGTGCATCGCGTCGTCTCTGATGCCCTCCACTCCCTCAGCCCTCCCGTCTCCTAGGGTGCTGAGCGCTGTCACTGTTCCTTCAGGAAGTCCCGAGTCTTCATCTAGCCACTTCCAACTACACTTGCCTCGTCCTTCATTACCCATCCTCAGTTAGTCTCATCCCGTCAGTCACTCCTCTGTCCCTCTTGCTAATCTGTATCCATCCTATTCCTGGATGTTAATTATCCATTTAAAGCAAATTAATCATACATTAAAATATTCCCAGGACTAAAAGCCCCTGGCTCCCTTAGCCTACAAGATGAAATTGAAGTTCAGTTCGCCCTTAGGTCGTCCTTTATGCTCTGGCCGTGACCTACCTTTCTAGTCGTGTTTTTCTCTCCTCTATAAGTCCTGTGGGCTTGGGTGAAGCCCCGCTGTTCTTTTTCCTCTAACATGGCCCTTGCTGTCTTTCTCTGAATATCAACATTCTGGTCTTTGAGGTCAAGTCTGACCTCTTACACTAAGCTCTTTCATCTGTGGGTTTTGCTTACTTTGAATTCCTATTACATTATGCTTATTTCTCCATAGCCTGCTGTGCTCTGTGTTCTTGTCATCTCTTTTTCCTGAACTAATCACATCTTACACGGTACTTTCTAACACACCGAAGGTACACGGAGAATGTTTATTTCTGAGTATTAACTAAGGAAGCATTAATATGTGGCTCCAGCCTGTAATGATGGCACCCTACTGTCATCATGCTACAGCCGGGTGTGGGTGGAGGGACCAAGAACAGTTTGCATAGATTCCAGAGCCTTGGACCTGTCGGTGGGATGTAAGAAAAGACTCCCGTCAATTGCTCTTGCTGTCTTTGTGTCTGGACACCAAGAAGCATTGCTGGATTGCCAAGGTGAGCTCCACTGGATCCCAGAAGCAGGGATCTGTCCAGTTCAGTTTGAGCTGAGCTTATCTAGCCGCCCCGCACAAGGCCTTAAATAAGCAAAGGTGTAGGGATTAGTGATGCACCGTCTCTCTTGCGAAGAGGACCAGATTAAGTCTGGTTGAACAGCTGTCTGCTTCCCAGTGCTTGCGGCAGGAGAACACCCTGGTATTTTATATTTTCCAGTCACATGGGGGTCCATGGAGATAAAATGTTAATTCTAACAGATGTGTCGCTCTTACACGGGGAAAAGGTGTCAGAACACTGTGCCATCACCAAAAATAGCTTCTTAAAGTCACTGGGTGCCTGGATTTAGAAAGGTTAAAAATAAAAACAAAACATTTTCACATATTTTTCAAATGGTGCTAAGACAGACTCCCTTACACAGGGACTTTTCAGTGCACTTGGGGTAGCTCCTTGCATAATCAAATGGTAAACCTCGGCCAAGTTTTCGGAAATTCCTGGGGGCTTTCATCTACCTCTTTCAAGCTACTTGTTAAAGTTTTGTGTAGCAGTATTTTGTGCCTCTTTTAATCCAGTTTTGAAGAGAATCTGCTTTCGGCTGTTATGGAGCCCAACAGAACAAACCAAAAATGTGGGTGACCAGGGAGCTGCATTCCAGAGCGGCTTTGTTCCTAATCTTCGCTTCGATTACACCTTACTCTAATGTCCTCTTACATTCGAACAGTGACTAAGGGTTTGCTAAACACTGTGAAAGAGAAAATTACATACTGGGAAACAAGGTGAATTTGTGGGTGTCGAATCACCTTTTGCTGTTGAAAACACACGATGCCTCTAGTTTGACCCAGTGATGGCAGAAGTGGCAGTGCCATGCTGTACCTGTCTTGGGTTTTCTTGGGGCTGAAATCACTTTTCCTCAAAACAAACACAACAAGGGCTCGATATGACGAAGGGTCGTTTCTAGGGAGCCTCTGCCAGGTGCTGGATCACATCTCTGCTCCTCACCAGGGCTCCGTGGACCACGTGGACTCACAGGGAAGCAGGGAGGGCTGGGCCCCAAGGGAGGGAATGAGGGACAGACAAGTTCCTGCAGCAGACTTGTTCAAATCCATTATATTTAAGCACTTCCATGCCATTTGGAACTTAGGGAGAGACTTACTTCTTAAATATCTGATTCTAAGCACACGCCAGTGGTCCCAGCATCGGGAAGGCTGAAGCAAGAGGATGGATGAAAGTTCGAAGCCAACCTGGGCTACATAGCTCAAAGGCAGCCTGAACTACATAGCCAGACTCTGTCTCCAAAAACCCAGGTAAATACATATCTGACTCTATAACACTTCATATAAAAATATACTTTCAGCCTTTCTGTTTAAAAATCAATGCTATTTTTTTTTCTTGGAGCTTGGAATGTAGCTTAGTGGTAGAGTGTATGCCACATGCTTAAGGCCCTATATCCAACCCCTAGCACCAAAAATAGATAAATAAGGACAATGTGCTTTCTTTACATTCATATGTAAATTTTCCATTTAAAAATTAAATCACAGACTCTGAAAGAGAAGCCCACTTTAATGAGCTCACTTGATTGTACATCACAGTTACTAATAGTAACCGTGGCTAACATTTAGCACTTTTGTTCTGGAAATTGTCCTATGGATTCTAGATGCAAATATTTCATTTGCACTTTAAAATAACCTGAATATGGTAGCATGGTAGTTTCTGTTATTACCACTATTTTACAAATGAGGAAACTGAGGCATTGAGAAAATGTCAGTAACCTATCTGAAACCACACACAGAGTAAGTGGAACATCTAGGACTCCAACCCAGGTATCTCCAGAGCCTGTGCTCTTGATAGCTAGCTAGATGATAGCTAGATAGATAGATAGATAGATAGATAGATAGATAGATAAATAGATAGACAGATAAACAGATAAATTTTTTGAGACAGAGCCTCACTGTGAAGCCCAGGCTGGCAATCTTCCTGCCTCAGCCTCCTGAGTACTGGGATCACAGCATGCCCCATAACACCCAGTTTATAGCATGCATTATAAAATTCAAGTTTCACCTGTAGTCCCACAACTCAGGAGGCTGAAGCAGGAGGATCACTGCAAGTTTGAGGCCAGCTTGGACTACATAGTAAATTTAAGCCCATCCTGAACTGCATAGCAAGACCCTGTCTCAAAAAAAAATCCAAGTTTTCTGCAAGGCTGCACCAATTGACCACTGCCAACCTCTTCACCCACCATTCATTCTTTTCATTTATCATCTCCTCTTCCCCTTGTTCACTCCTTGCTACTCAGATACCCCAAGCTCTTTCTTGCCCCAGGAATATAGAAAGTCTGTCCCCTCCACCCGGGTCCCCCCAAAACCTTGCTTGCTTTTTT